CTCCTGAGAAGTTTGTTTCTTTAACCTAGAATAAAGAACAGCAGTGGTAAACTTGTTAACTTGTTTGCATGGTAAACTGTGTTTCCTGGAACCTTTTATGTTTCCTAAAGGTGACTGTCAGTAATAATCTTTTAATTGGCTAAGAACAGTTTATCACCAGGCTGTTTGAGTTACCTCTGGGAAACAGAGAATCGTGGACAATGACATTTGTAGTAGCCAATGTTTTAAGCACAGCCTCTACTGGAGAATTCCAGGGAAGTGGCAAAGTACCTCATTTTCATCACCTGATTTGGTAACACCTGTGCAGACTAGGCTATGTGGCTGACAGAAACTTATCTTTTTGTTGGGTAGAGAACAGTGCCCATCACAGCTTTTTGTAGTCACTCTGCTGTTATCCAATCAGAGCACTGCCTACTCTTCATTTCAGGAAGGACTAATGTCAATGGTTCCCTTCTTCTGGGGCTTGCTTATACAGAAGATGTGTGTGCTCTTCTCGTTTCCACAATTTTCTCCTGCTTTTATCTTTCAAGTAACATTTTCCATTGAAAGTTTGATTTGTTTGTGATGGCTTAAATACTCGATTAGTATGTGGGATGACTGAGTGATAGCAAGACTCTGAGAGAAGGCAGACATGCCTATTTCCATGTTAAAGGGGGCAGTATGACCAGAGTAAATACTGGCGTTTTAACCTTCTTCTTGGCACTCTGCTAGCATGTGGTACCTCTTTGCCAGTACTATGGATGTCTGGACTCCTGTTATTGACCAAGCCTTGGTAAAAATGTGCTTATCTTGGATGGAGGTATTATAGTATGAACATTTTTGTTGGATTTTCACCTAATTCTACTCATTTTTAATTTTTTCCCTGTGAAACCTTAAGTTAAAAATCTCAAACTTTTTAAGAGCTTAGAATAAAGCTTAGCTCAGCTCCTAATGAAACATGGCTTTGTCAGTAGTAAAGTGTTTGCTTTGCACCTGGAGGTCACTGATTTCAGTTCCAACACTACGGGTGGGGGGGACGAGTAAAATTGTAGGTAAAACTGTTCTTGAGAACTTGTGACTTTGCAGACCCTCCTAAACAAGGTATTGGTTTGATTTTTATTAGGCGGATATTCAAAAAATATTAACTTTGGGATTTCAAAGTGTTCCATGACTTAATTCTATGACTTAAGGAAATTATGGGAATTAAGAGGTTTTACTGAGCTTTAAAAGATAACTATAGGCATCATCTAGGGAACTGGTAGTCAGCTGCCAAGGACTTGGTTGCTGTTGCCCTTCATCTGGATTTGACTCCATGAGTGACTAGTCTTAAGTTGTATAATGTAAGCTTTTCTATTAGTGATATCTTTGCTGAAAGAGCAAGGTATCTGTTAGCTAATATGGCACAATATAGGTTTTAACTAGGAAATGATGGTTTTTCTTGATGGCAACATCCTTATTTGAACATGTGTTCAAAAACAAGACAGGCTGAAGCAGGAAGATCTGAGTTTGAGGATACCCTGAAATATATAACAGAACTGCCCAAAAAAAACAACAACAGGGACTGGAGAGATGGCTCAGCAGTAAGAACACTGGCTACTCTAACAGAAGACCTAGGTTCAATTTCTACTACCTTCATAGAGGCTCACTATAACTCCAGTCCCAGGGGATAGGATGGCCTCTACTGGCTTCAGCAAGCACTTCATGCAGGTGGTGGTACACAGACATGCGTTTAGAGAAATGTTCATACATATAAAATAACAATAAATAAAATCTCAAAAAATTTAAGAAAAATAACAAAAAAATCAAAAGACCCATTAATACAATGTGTTATAGACATTGAGATTTACTGATTTGAGAGGCTTAAAGTAATTGGTTAGAGATGGACTTCTCTATTTTGGATGATAGCTTTGGCTCTCCTGGTGCTTTTTGTCTTTTATCTCAAGGTGAAATTGTGTGATATTAGAACAGTTCCTTGCAGCTTTGACTGCTGGAAGCAAAAGAGAGACTTGGCTTTTGGATTTGGTGTGGTTTGTTTTGTGGTGATGTTCTGATGTTGCCTAAACTCTTGAACACATTCTATCCTTGACTTTTCCTGTATGATGTGGTAGAAGAAATACCAGAAATCACTACTTGTGGTATGCATTGTAGTTTCAAAGTGTTCCCCAGAGGTGTCTAGACCTTTGATAGTGTTGATTCTGACATGCATAAATCTTGTTTTTATTTTAGCATTCTGTGTCACGTGGCAGTAATTTGCAGTTTATTCTTTGCTTCTAACTAGATGATCTGGGAAGTAACATAGTACTTTGTCTGTGATTATCTTCAAAATGTCCCAAAAGCCTTGGGAAAAAAAAGTGCAGCTCAATGGGGACTTTCAACTTACAATTTTCTTTGTTTTAGGCTCCATAAAAATACAGACTCACCAGTTCCTGCTTTGATGTGACATGTGACTCCCCAGAATACACCTTGCTTCTGTAGACCAGCTCCAACAGGATTCCATGGTAGCTGGGATGTTAGGGCTCAGGTAAGTAACCTTCCTTTTTTTTTTTTTTTAGTATATGTCCTGGTTTGGCCATCTGTTTTTAAAACAAAACAAAAAAAAGGAAAAAAAAGATATACTACTCTTGGACAGTATAAAAGTACCCCAAAGATGAAAAGCATAACTGGGCCAAACTGGGCCATATAATAAAAAAAAGTCACTTCCCTGAGCCCTGAAAGGTCAGTTCAGTCTGGGTAGAGTTACTTGGTAGCCACAATGTTATCTGGGGGTGGGTGTCAGATTAGAGCTGGAACTGGTGATCTGCAGCTTCAGTTCACCTTGAAGCAGGAGAGCGCTTGTCCTGAGCTCTTCACCTATGCTGCTGCTCTTACCTAGTGGTCTTCAGCATGATTTCTTTGCTTTGCTTTGGGCTAAATGACTTACTGGTGGTGTATTGCATTTTCAGATACAGGAACTGGTATTTGGTCTCCTAGAAGGGTACCCTTCTGAAAGTGTCACAGAACAGTGGAAACTGTAGCTAATGGTGCTTGCTTTCTGTGCTCCTGTGATGGAGTGCACTCAGAGATACTTGCAGCTCTTGTGATTCTAGAGCAGAATAAGTGCTTTTGGAAAAGTTGGAGAGCCAAGTAATTGTAGACCTAATATTTAGGTGACAGACCTGCTGCACTGTGGTACCATTGTGTTGACTTTAGTTTTGTTAGAGTGAATTGTTCTGTAATTTCTCATCCATGATCAGGCATAGATACCTCAAGCTTTTTTTTTTAAATCAGTGGTTATTCCACATTTGATATTTTTGTCACCTGAATTTCTTTGAGACAAAACAGATAATTCCATTTAAATTTTTCCCATTTTCTACAAAAGAAAATGTTGACTGTTCACACATGCTGCATTGTGATTTCAGCCCAGACCCCCAAGTAGCCTTTTCTGTGTATCTAGTATTTATTACACTTCATAAAGCTATTGTGTACATACACATTACCTCATACTCAATAGCCTATTTATCTGGGGGAGTTAGTTTTAGGTGGAGGAGAATAGAAGGAAATGAAGACCTTAGCACTGTCTCCAGGTCCCAGGTTTGGTTCTGCTCTTGTTCCTGTGACTTTAGTTGTCATTCTACTTACTATGATAGGGCATGCTCCAGACCTGGCTGACTGTTCTTTGTGTTCCACATATTTATGCTGGTGGGAGTTATATGGCTGGTGCTATTTCTCGGGAATTCTGCAGACTAATTGTAATAGCAGCAAAGATGGGTTTCTTCTGGTAGATGTTGAACTGGGAGTGGTCTGTGTTTTTTTTTATAGTATTTTTCTCAGTTTGCAAATGCCTTTGTGAAAAAGGTAATAATGACACTACACATTTCTACAAAGAAATATAGAGAAGATGGATAATTTTTTTATTAAAAATATTACTACTTATAAATGAGAAAAACATATGAGTTCAAACAATAGAATTTGTCTTTACTTGTAAAGAATATCATATCTTTTCTCCTTTAAAAAAAGTTGTCAGGCATGGTGGTATACCACTTTAATCTCAGCACTTGGGAAGCAGAGGCAGGTAGATGGATCTTTGTGAGTTTGAGGCCAGCCTAGTTTACATAGCGATTTCCAGGCCAGCTAAGGCTACCATAGCAAGACCCTGTCTCAAAAAACAAAATGATAAAACTTTGTAGAAGAACTTCATGAGCTAGTCATTTTGAAGAATGGCTGCCTAGACTTGAAGGTACTGGTAGGTATTGGCATATCACCTTTCCAGATGGCTGTCTCAGTTCTTGGGCTTTATAATTTAGATAGATAACTTTAAATCAGTTTTCTTTTCATTATTAATAAAGTTGAAACTCAGTAATCATTGGCCATTTGTATCTGGCCTATGTAAATTTTTGTATTTATTTTCTGTATTCATTATTCCATCACAGTATTTTTTTTTAATTTTGTGTGTGAGTGTGTCTTCCTGTTTGTGTCTTTAGGGATATGAGTGCAGGTACCTGCAGAGGACAGAGGTAGATCCTCTTGGAGCTGCAGATATGGACAGTTGTAAGCCATGTCACATGAGTGCTAAAAACTGAACACAGGTCCTCTGCAAGAACAGCAAGCGCTATTAGCTGCTAAACCATCTCTCTAGATCCCCAAGATACTTCTTTTTAAATGGATCTTTAAGAAACCAGGGCCTTGTACTTTCTAGAGCCACTGAACTAAATGCCTAATCTTTCTAAGAACTCTTAATATATTAAAGATTTAACTCTTTGTCATGGTACAGATATTTTCCTACTCTGTCACGGTTTTTGATACTGCTTGTCTTTCTACTGTATAAAATCTCAGGCAGCCCAGTGATTGGCTAAATGGGTTAAAAATATGTCCACCAAGCCTAATGACCTGAATTTGATCCCCAGAGCCATGTAGTAGAAGAGAACCATCTTCTGCAAATTGTCCTTGGACCTACACATATGCACTGTAGTACACACATGTGTAATATGTACTCACTAAAAGTATTTAGGATTTATTTTGCTTTTAGAAAGTGTTTTCTGAGGGCTACAGGGATATTTTAGTGGTTAAAAACATAAGGAAACTTGCTGCATGGCCGGGCAGTGGTGGTGCATGCCTTATATTCCAGCACTTAGGAGGCAGAGGCAAGTGGATCTCTGTAAGTTCAATCTACAGAGTTCCAGGACAGACAGGGATACACAGAAGCCCTGTCTCAAAAAAAAAAGGACACTTACTGCTCTGCAAAGGGCCTAGATTCAGTTCCCATAGTTCACAACCAGGCATAACTACTGTTCCAGGGGATCGGTCTCTTCTGGCCTTCACAGACATCAGGCATGCACATGGGAATAAACTTACATGCAGGCAAAACACAAAGTTTTTTTTTTCTACTCAGAGTTCTTTGATATTCACTTTCATTTTCTTTCTGAAAAGACTGGTGTATTTATAATATATACATATTTAATGTACACCATAAGTTCATGGGTTTCACATTCCTTTTTAAATTTGTTTTTTAAATTCTCTTCCCACCCCCCCCCAAAAAAAAACTGGGTGTTGGTGGCAACGCCTTTAATCCCAGCGCACTAGGGAGGCAGAGGCAGGCAGATCTCTGTGAGTTTGAGACCAGCCTGGTCTACAAGAGCTAGTTCCAGGACAGGCACCAAAGCTACAGAGAAACCCTGTCTTGAAAAAACAAAAAATTAAAAAATAAATAAATTCTCTCTCTCTCTCTCTCTCTCTCTCTCTCTCTCCCCCCCCTCTCCCTCTCGCCCTCCCCCTCCTTATCCCTCTCTCTCTTTCTCTGTGTGTGTGTGCACGCTTTAGACTAAAGAGACTAAGGGATATTAGAATTGATGTCATGCCTATTTATGTCTCTCTAGCCCTTAGATAGTTTTTTTTTTAATTAGCTTACAAAATATGTATTCTGTTCTGTTGCTCATTCTTCCCTTTTCCCTTTCCTGTTCTCCTGCCTTGGCCTCCTGGTCCTGTCTGTAGAAGGCCCAAGAGGTTTCATGTCATATGTGTTCTATTGCCCGCTTCCCTCTTAAAGTTGCCCTGTGTTTTCAAAAATATTAATTTTTGTATTTTGTTTGGTGGTGGGATGGTTTCTAGAAAACACTTGGGTTTTGTCTTAGTCATTGGGTGAACTAGTCATTCGGTTTTCAAATTTTTCAAATGCTGTTTTCTTTAGATAAACAAAGTATCTCTTATGTTTTTCCTATTTTCTCTGTAAAGCTGTTTTGTTTTTCCTGAAATTTGGGGAATTTGATGGTGGTCCTTTGAACTAGCACTTATTCATTCACCTGTTTTGAGCACCTGCTTTTTTGAGCTAGGGGCATTACTAAGACCTGGAACTGGCATTTTTCTCCTTAATGGATGTGGGCTACAGTGCTTTCACAAGACTTGAACACAGCAGATCTTCACAAAAGCAGGTTTTTGATAAAATGGCAAGAGTGTAGAAGAGTGTGTGTTGAATTTTTCAAAGAGCCAGGTGTAGTGGCACACACTTTTAGTCCTAGCACTTGGAAGGCAGAGAGACAGACCTCTAGGTCAGCTAAGGCTATAAGGGCTCTGGCCCTTTTTAAAGTGTGTTTAAAGAAGCCAGAGAGATGGCTCAGTGATTCAGAGCACTTGTTGCTCTTGCAGAGAACCAGGTTTAGTTCCTAGCATCCATAACCATCCATAATTCCAGTTCCAGGGAATCCTTTCTTATCTCTGTAGGTACTAGATATGCATGTGGTACACATACATACATGCAGGCAAAACACTCATAAACATAAAATAAAGCCAGTAAATCTTAAATTTTTAAGTATATTTTGAGACAAAAATCTCACTGAGTTGCCCAGGCTAGCCTTAAATTGGTAATCTTTCTGCCTTCCTTGCTGGATTGACAGACATGTACCACAAGATCCAGTATATATTAAATTTGTTTTAGTCAGAATACACATAAAAGTTGCCATGTTAACTTTTATGTTAAAATGGTTACCATGCCATTTAGTGTGTTCAGATTGTTGTACACCTATTATTGCCATTCATATTGAGATTTTTTTTAAATAAAGCAGCAATTCTGTGCTCAATGAACATTCCACTTCCTTCATGCCCATCTTTTCCTAAACCACTATCCTGCTGGCTGTCAATTTGACTGGTCTAGTGCCTTATTCTGTGTGTTTATGCATATGTTTTTATGTATTTTGTGTCTGCTTACACACAAGAATGTGTGGGAATATATCTTTTATCTGAACTTTAATATATATATAAAATATATATATATAATATATATCTGAACTTTAATAACAGTTGCAAATGCTTGCCTTCTATTAATGTATCTTAGAGATTATTTGGAATTAGTTCATAGAGAACCATGTCATTCTTTTTAACTGTTGGGATTAAATAGTCTTATTATTTATGAGATGTACTGTAATTCATTTAACTGTTTTTCTATTAATGAGTGTTTGTGTTTCTGATTGTTAAAATTTCATTGATTCTACTAGCTAGCTTGATATAGTGGCACATATCTATAATCCCAATACTTAGTAGGCAGAGACAGTA